GGGCAAGAAATAATTTTGGCGGGGCATTTCCCCCCCCCCTTGCCCCCCTGGCGCCGCCACTGCTAAATACGAATGTTTGCTCTGGCTTGAAGTATCGTTTTTGTCCACATTTCGGCTTTCGCGAGGTTTTAATAGTTGTTTGTTGTCTTTCACGCTCCACGGACGACAATGAACGTGTACGACTTCCACACCTTTGAACAAATGGTCAACAGTCGAAAAAATATGTCGAAAGTATCAAAACAACAAGTATTCACTGCAAAAACCGAAATATTTTTATAAAAACTGGGGGGGTGAAAACTGTGGCGGGCTCATATTTGAGCCTTGTTCAATGGCAATTACCATGAATTTAGGGACCAGTAGTCACGGAAATGGCGTCATTTTCACTCAAAATCCACCATGTTTTTGCGGACACTTCGTTGACTGAACGAAGTATAGGAGCAAGTCCTCCAGTTATTATACAGCTCAGTGGCACAACCTAGTTATTTTAAACTTGGCGCGCTGGAAAGTGTACTGCACTTCCGACGGAAGTTTCCAGTGAAACATAAATTAGATTCCAGTTCATTTCGCGGTCAAATCCAAGATGGCGTTTCAAGATTTGGTTTCTAGTTGGGAATCTTGTCAGACTGAAATTTGAGGACAGTACAAATGAATTCGGTATTGAACTATTCAAGCTTTATAGAAGGTAATGTCCATAGGCATATATTTTGGCCAATAAATTAGATCAAGACAGGTTTTTTATGTAATATAAATTTCGAGTCAAATCTCACTTGTTGCCAATGTTGGTAATATGAACCGATCGTTTCGCCAACGAGTCGTTTCGCCAACTGTCAGTTTGCCAACTTCTCGGGTCGATCCGCTAACGTATAATGTCAGTTCGCCAACGCAACATTTAGCCTTATCATGGATTGTTAAAGAACAACCATGGTCATAAACAATTCTTTTATAGTTCACGTCTTTATAGACGGGTAAACTTTGTTTACATAATTTGATACAATTTGCCTGCCAGGGATGCGCGAGCAACTTATTTTGTATAGTCTAATCATGCAAGCATACGTCATAGAACAACTCATGTGTGATAAAGCTTTCAAAAAAGCATGTCCGCGCATTCTTGGCAGGTAAAATATATCAAATTATGTAAACAAAGTTTACCCGTCTATATAAATGTGAAAGCGAAACCATGAAACGCAAAGAATGTTTGTAGAAAATATAAACTAAACGGCAAAGTAGGAAAATGTTATTGATTGTGATATTGTTGCATGAGTTGTTTAAGTATTTCCCGCTTGTATTAGCTTGATACATGGATTTCCAATGAATATATTAAATTATTAAAGGACTTGATGTAAGTATATAGGCTAACATATTGATTTCAGATATATTATTATTGAATTCACATTGGCGAATCATAATTTTTATATGTAACTTTCCTCACAATTTTTACATTTTATTTTAGATACTTATGCATTGAATAAATATTTCCTATAGTATAGATATAAGTAGCAATTACGTTGCTTAAACTCACTATGCGATTGCATTAAAGTTACTGTATTACAACGGTATATTGACATAAAACATTCAATATCAGATTCAGTATTATAGGTCACATTTTAAAAACACATAGCAACACAATTTTGCGATGTAATTTTATTTTTGTGGAAAACACAGCAATTATTTCCACTATGATCTGGACTTGTGGAAAGGAACTTTGCCACATGAATTGTGGTGATTTTCAAAAAAATATATTGTGAACATGGAAACATATATACCGATATGTCTAGTCTGAATGTTCCATCGAAATATCAAGATTTTGCTTCCCACAAAATTCTCAGCTGTGCATTCTTTGCAAATATACAAGATGACGTTGTTCTTTCATGCACCTTAGTATCAACCTGAAGGAATCCATCTGGTATGCATTCTTCATTCAGCTCCAAGCTGAGTTCCAGCTTCATATTCACCATTTCTTTCAAGACAGAGGCATTTCATGTGTTCCCATTTGGCCTCCCTGTGCATTGCCATGCAGTTTGTGCCATATGATCGTTTGGAATGAATATTATAAATTCGATGATATAACCACTAGACTTATTTTCCTCCTTTTCGTTCCCTCCGCATGGTTTACAACAACATCATCAGTAGGAGGATCCATGATTGATGGTCCACTATTGGTGATCTGGTTGAGGATGGGGCAACTCGGCTGGTTGCTGGAACGTCATAGTACACTTTGAAATTCAGTACAGAAGTATAACTGGTCAGTATCGATAATCAATGGCGAAGCTAGATTGTTCAACCCAAGACCATTTTGTACTTATATATGGCTTGATCATTCATGAGTTAACTACATCCTTCGAGCCAAGGACATTTTTTTAATTTTCTAAGCTTAGCAGTAAACTCAATCCTGAAAATGATATCGCATGTGGGGGAAAATATAGTATTTTGAATGTGAATGATGTGGAAACTCTAACTGATGCCAGTCTACAAGGTATATACAAGGTATATATATATATATATATATATATATATATATATATATATATATATATATATATATATATATATATATATATATATATATATATATATAGGTTATCATATAAGGGATGAGGTGATATCAGTTTTATCGCTCGAGGGATGATATCACAATTGTCACGAGCGAGTGCAGCGAGCGAGGGACAATTGTGATATCGTCCCGAGAGCGATAAAACTGATATCACCGAATCCCGAGTACGATAACCTATTTATTATATACTTCTACCTAAAAGTAAAAAGTTTTGAAAAAATAGGATCAATTTAGAATTCAAAAAAATTCAACATTTACTGAACAAATATGATTTTAGAAAGTAAATAGACAATTCATGTAAATAATATACAATTTAAGTATTTCGTTTTGTATTATCGTTCTTGTTTCCTTCGATAAAACTGTCGACATCAACCAACACGAACCTCGAGTCGGCCATCTTTGTTTTGACAAGGCGCGAAATTTAGCGGGACAAAAAACGATATCCGGGACAAAAAACGATATCCGGGACAAAAACGATATCCGGGACGATATCGTTTTTATGTCCCGCTGCTTCCTACCTGATAAAGGTACAAGTATGTGATAAATATATATATATATATATATATATATATATATATATATATATATATATATATATATATATATATATATATATATATATAAAGCAAAGCATAATGGCAGCAAAATTTAAGCGGTTTAGAAAGCATATATGGTGCCCATTTTTTGGAGACATGGATGATAAAAATCTCCCTGCAAAAACATTTCACTGGCAAACAGCTTCAATAATCAACAATTAAGCTTGAAATCAGTACTCCCATCACGCTTTGCGCGCTTAGAGTTTAAGGTTTAAGGTTTTAAGGTTTAAGGTTTGCAAAGGACAACCTTTATTGAATTAGCTATA